CCAGAGGTGGCGGTCGCCTGGACTAGAAACCTTCCCGTCGCTAATACCCCTAACGAACGCAAAACGAATATATATATATAGAGAGAGAGGGGGGGGAAGGGAGAGGAAATAAGGCAAAGGGGCATGCATATATACAGAAAGAAAGACATGATGCAGATAGAAACTGTGCGTGCCTGTCAATCTACCCATTCCATGTGAATGAAAGCGGGGTCACCCGCAGGGAAGAGGCAAACAAAGATTAAATCTCGAAGAAATGTCGTTTCTCTTGCTTCTGCTGCCTTCCGTGATTCGTGGTGGTGTTCGTCTCCACCGGCACCTTTGACGGCGGGGAAGAAAACAATTTACGGTGCTGCTGCTGCGGCGTCAGCCGCCGCCCCTCCAAGCCTTTGCTGGTCATGATCGCGCTCACATTGTACCGCGCCCCCACCTGCATGCGCTGCTTCTCCACCATCGGCGCGTCAGCCCGCTTTGCGTGAGACATCAAACGCCCTATAACTGCCATGCACCGCTGGCGGGCATCGTGCGAGAGGGAAAGATGCAGCTCTACCTCCAACGATCGCCGCACCAGCACAGGAATGCTGATTGATGCCAACTCATTGTTGTCAGCGTTGGCGCCGATGTTGTGGCTACGTGTGCCCGTCGAAGAGGATAGGCAACTGACGATAAAGTTTCCCTCCCGCTCAGCAACAGCCTCGAGGACATGCGCCACCCACGGCAGTGGTGTTTTGCGCTGTTCTATTTCAGCGCCAAGATGTGCGGGCTCCATGCTCGCCACAATCCGCCGCGCCAGCACCGTTGGGTCCTCCTGCAGCTCTTTGATCTTCAGAACGTGATGAGACAGCAGCCACTGCAGCTCGGGGAGTGGGAGCTGTAGTACCCGCGACGTTGCATGTGGCCGTAGATGGAATGCGCCGCTCTCCGTCAGCCTGCCTGTTGCTGCATCAGTGACCACAACGCCGAGTTCGAGTAAGGCGGAGGGGGCAGGGGAAGGAGGAATGACCTTTAGATGATCCCATGTGCTCTTCGACACAAGCAACAGGCCTTGGCCCTCGTGCCACGCGACGCAGAGATTATGTTTCGTCAAAAACCTCTCCACTTGTACCGCATTATCATTGAAAAAACAACTGAGGTGGCGTTGCACCAGCATATTCCCTGCCGCAAGCCGCACAACACCGCGAGCATGCAGAATCGAATCCACCACGAGTGCTGAGTTGGATGTTGTCGCAGTTATGGTGTGATTATTGTTGCCGATGCTACTGCTGGTGTTGTTGTTGTTGGCCTCAGCCCGTCTTGGGGAAGAGGGGAGGAGTGGTGCCGTGTGGCTTTTCTTCCGCAGTGTAGCGAGGAAGAAGCCTTCGGCACCGCCGTTGCGGTGCGGCAGCACACGCAGACAGCAGGACTCCAGCGCTGCTTGAATCGCCTCGCACCCCTCAAGGGGGAACAGCTCCGCCGCTGCGGCCTCACCCTTCGCCTGCGCCTCCGCGAAGGAGTGCAGGAATCCACCCGCGCGTGACGGCACGAGCCACCGTCGAAGACCGCGGCTGAAACTCCACGCACTGCTCTGCGCAACAGCACGTGGCGGCCGCTCCAGCTCCACACCACCATCTGCGAGCACGGTCGCCACAACCGCCTCATTCTCCAGCGGGTTCAGCGTGCATGTCGAGTACACGATGCGCCCGCCCGCAGCACACAACTCCACCGCGCGTCGCAGCAGCGCGACCTGCGCGGGGACGAAATCGTGCGCCCTCAGCGGGTGCCACAGCCGCCATGACACCGCGTCGCGGCGCATGCGGGCCTCGCCGGAGCACGGTGCGTCCACCAGCACCTTGTCGTAACGCACCCCGCCGGCGGAGACGGGCTGCACCGGAAAGGCCTGCCCTTGCAGCTGCGTCACAGCCACGCCCGGGTAGACACTCTGCAGCCGCTGCGCCAGCGGGCGGCAACGAGCGGAAACGGCGTCGTTTGCCACAACGCAGCTACCCAATGCCGCACATGTTGACTCTCGTGAAGCATCGGACATGTAGTCAAGGATTAAGGACGTCTTGCTTCCTGGGGATGCACACATGTCCAACACCGCCTCGCCCGGCTGCGGGTCAAGCAACAGCACCGGAAGCATGCTTGATGTAGATTGAAACGAAATAAGTCGTTCGTTTGCCAGCGCGCGCAGCAGCTGACGGTTGGCAAGAAGCACACTGTGCGGTGTGTCGGGTGCATCCAGCATGGTGAAGGCACCACACATGGGCGGGAGCCACAAGAGTGGCTCAATGCCTGGCCGCCCACGCAGAAGCTCCATTACCGCTTGCCCGTACATTTGAGAGGTGTGGACACGGAATGTCGCCGGCTGACGACCACGCATGGCGTTGAAGAGCTGCATCAGCTCCACTTCATCGGCCACAAGTCCTTGGCGCATGAAGTATCGAGAGAAGGACGCATTGGGAGCAGTCACCGCATGATCCCGGCGGTGGCGCAACTCTGAGAGCGCCGCCCCTGTGTAGCCAGCAGCGAGAAGAGAGCTGTTGAGAGCTCCGCCTCTCTCAAGGGCATCGCCGGTGTTGACGCTGTCCATCAACGCTGGCGGCAATGCGTTTCCATCGGCCTCTGTAGAGGATGGGAAGAGCTGTCGCTCCGTTTCCATGCCACCAGCAAGACGGCGCTGCTGCAGGAACAAGAGCTCCATCTCCCGCAACTCCTCAGGGGTACGGGACGCGGCGAGGGCGTTTTTGACCCACGCCGGCTCCATTAAGAACTGCTGCTGTTGTTTTCGTTGCTGTTCCACCTGCATTTCCAGTACCACTTCCACCGCGGCCCGTGCGACGGTGTAACTTCCCTTCCTGCGTGCCTCTTCGAAGACGAGGCTGAGATTGCCGCGCACCCAACTTCCCCACTGCCGAGGCGTGTCCTTGTAGCGCCACGGAGCGTGACACACGTGCCGACGCAGCGTCTGACGCAGCGAGTCGGGACTCGTGAATGGAGAAAAGAGCGGTGCGAGATCCATACGCCTCGACTTAAATGAGTCGTATTGAATCACACGGCAAGTTCGCATCCGTCACTCTTTTTTTTTTTT